GGGGGGGGGAGAACCTCACTGAGCCCGGAAGAATCACCGCTTCGAGTCCTTCAGGTCTTTGTGGTCACCCCTACCTCTGAGGCAACACTCACCCCGCCGCTTCCCTTCCTGTGGTGGTGGAAGTGTCTGGGGGGAAAAAAAAAAACGCGGGAAGGCACGAGGAACTCTGCGCGCAGGCGCAAGACCAACGTTCGCCTCCGGTCTCAGAACTGTCGCGAGGCTTGGGATAATAAGAGCTCGTGCTCACCACGTTCTAATCACGCCGCTCTAGGGCGGCCACGTGCAGGCGCGAGCGGGCGGGCCGGGTCACGTGGGCTCTTCTCCGCGTGCACCAGCCCGGCCGGCTCTCCTCAGCGTGCGCCAGCCGAGCCCCGCCCCCTCGGTGCCCAGAAACCCCCTCCGCTGGTCGGACCTCGGCCTAAACTAGTTGTAACCCCTTCAGTCTAGTTTCTGGACTACAATAGGCTGAGTTTCACCCCGGCCCCTCCTTTCGGGCGAGATGACACGCCCCATGGAGGAGGACCACGCCCCCACCCCGCCAAACCTTCGGCTGGCGGCGGTGTCCCGCCCCCCCGCCGAGCTTCTCCACTACATTGGCTTAAAGTCTCCCTTGACCCCGCCCTCGAGGCCGGTTTCTTATTATCATTGGCAGGGCCCCGCCTCGGGTCCCGCCTCCTGTCCGGCTCCCTGCTCCCATTGTCTCCTCAGATGCCTCCTGGTCCAGCTATCGTGCTGGGTGTTCGGTTTTCGGGGGTCGTGCTCTTTCTCTGACCAACAAAGCGATCCCGCGGCGGAGAGCCAGATTCTAGAGTTCTGGCGCCTTTTCTTTCTTCCTTAGGACTCACTTTGCTGTCCCAAGGAGGCTGCAGCTATGTCTGTGCTGCGACCTCTCTTGCTTTTGCTGCTGCCTCTGTGTCCTGGTCCTGGACCGGGACCTGGGAGCGAGGCAAAGGTCACCCGGAGTTGTGCAGAGACCCGGCAGGTGTTGGGGGCCCGGGGATATAGCTTAAACCTAATCCCTCCCGCCCTGATCTCAGGTGAGAAGAAAAGAAGACTCTACTATGGAGGGGGGGGGCAGAGGGTGGAGGTGGGTTTTCCCTATTTCACAATAACTCTTACCTTGCAGAGTGCCCGTTATAATAATCTTTTCATCCTGCAGTGCTCTCTTTCCTCCTCCAATAACTTTCCTTAACCGGGAATGGAAATACTGTCCTGCTCACATAATAGCTTTTACTCCACCCCCATATCAGAAATCTCTGATAATTTGCATGCACGCACGCACACTGGTATGTTTCTTCATTACCAGGTTCCCTCTGCTATTTCTCAGGGTCTTCAATGACAATACTCTTTTACTCACCAATAACCCCACCCACCCCAACAATCTGCATTCTTCATCTCAAGGAAGCTATTGGGGAACTCCTTCGAGGTTTGGGGTGACCAGTGTTTGGGGAGGGTCACCTGAAGACACCAATCAGAAACTTGGCCCTCAGGAAAGCTGTCAAATAGAGGATCCCCTGGCTAATAGGGGTTGGCTTTGGGAAGGATGAAGGAGACAATGAGGAGGGGGCAGACAATAGAAAAAGAATCCAGACAGGTGGGAGAGGAAAATATATATACAGTCCCCAGATATGGAGGAGATGGGGAGAAATTCATAATAACCTTTGCCACCCTTCCTTTCCTGTCTCCTCCTGTCCAGGTGAGCACCTCCAGATCTGTCCCCAGGAATACACCTGCTGTTCCAGTGAGACAGAACAGAAGCTGATCAGGGATACTGAGGCCACCTTCCGAGGTCTGCTGGAAGACAGTGGCTCCTTTCTGGTTCACACACTGGCAGCCCGGCACAGAAAGTTTAATGGTGAGGATCTGAGGTCCCCAAGTTTATTTCACACCTCCCATCTGTACCTGTGACCCCAACAGGCTTCCTGTTCCCTCTCCCTACTCCAATCCTAAGGCAGTCCACCTCCACCCAGCCCTGTTCATCACTAGTTCTCATCCCAGACTTTTCCCACGACCCTACCCTCCATCATTCTCAGTCTTCTTAGGTCCCTGAGAGTTGCACTAATTCACTTTTCTCTTTCCA